GGGCCAGGGACGGGGGCCATGGGACGGGCCGAGTGGGATCGGACCGATGGGCCATGTACGGTGTCCGGACGCGGCCACATTGTCGGGCCATGGGACGCGCCCAGAGACGGCCACATGGGCCATGGACGGGCGAGAAGACGGGCCACACATGGGGCCATGGACGGGTCAAAGGGACGGTGGCCACATGGACGCATGGGACAGATGGGGCACATGGACCATGGGACGGGCGAGAGATGGGTTATGGGACGGGCCGAGAGATCGGGCCACATGGGCCATGGGCGGGACCGAGAGACGGTCACATTGTGGCCATGGGACGGGCCGAGAGACGGACCACTGGGGACGGGCCACATGGGCCACATGGGCATGGGACGGGCTGAGAGACGGACATGGCACATGGGCCATGAGAGACGGGTCGGGCGAAAAGGACGGGCCACATAGAGACGCCACATTTGACGGGCCACATGGCCATAGAGATGGGCGCATGGGACGGGCCGAGAGACGGGCCACATGGGCCATGGACGGGACCGAGAGACGGGCCACATGGGCCATGGGACGGACCGAGAGACGGGCCACATGGGCCATGGGACGGGCCGAGAGACGGACATGGGCCACATGTGGCCATGGGATCGGGCCGAGAACGGCACACATGGGCCATGGGGGTGAAAAAAACCGGGGGCCGGAGAAGTACGGGCCACATGGGCCATGGGACGGGCCGAGCGAGACGGACCACATGGGCCATGGGTACTCGGGGCGAGACGACGGACCACATGGGCCATGGGACGGGTCAGGGACGGGCCACATGGGACCATGGACCGGGCCGGAGACGGGCCACATGGGCCATGGGACGGGCCCACATGGGGCATGGGACATGGTGGACGGGCCACATGGGACAGACGTGCCACATGGGCCATGGGACGGGCCACGAACGGGGCGCCCGTGGCGGCCACATGTGGACGGGCCTTGAGGCGACGGGCCACATGGGCCATGGACGGGCCGAGAAGACGGAACATGGGCCATGGGACGGCGTCAAGGGACGGCCACAGGGACCATGGGACGGGCCGGAGAGACCTGGACCACATGACCATGGGACGGCCGAGAAACGGCCACTGGGCCCACTGGACGGCCGAGGAAACGGTGCCACATGGGCCATGGGATGGCGCCGAGAGTACGGCCCACATCGGGCCATGGGACGGGCCACATGGGACGGACCACATGGGGCCCATGGGGACGGACGAGAACGGCCTACATGGGCCATGGGACGGGCGAGGAGAGGAGGACCACATGGGCCATGGGACGGGACCGAAGGACGACGGGACGGGCCACATGGGAGCAGAGACGGGCCCACATGGCGCCCATGGGGACGGGCCGAGAGACGGGGCCACGGGGCCATGGGTAGGGGCGAGAGACGGGCCACATGGGCCATGGGACGGGCCACATGGGCCATGGGACGGGCGAACCGGACCACATGCGTGCCATGGACGGGCCACATGGGCGGGCCATGGGGCCGAAGAACGGACCACATTTGGGCTCCATGGGACGGTCCGAGAGACGGGCCACATGGGACGGGCCGAGAGACGGGCCACATGGGCCATGGGACGGGCCGAGAGACGGGCCACATGGGGCCATGGACGGTGACGCGGCCCACATGAATGGGACGGGCCGAGGCATGGGCCATGGGACGGGACTGATGGGACAATGGAGGGACGGACCGAGGACGGGCCACATGGGCCATGGGTACGGGCCAGAGACGGGGCCCACATGGTCCACGGGCCACATGGGCCACTGGGGACGGGCCGAGAGAGGACCACCATGGGGCCATGGGACGGGCCACATGGGGCATGGGACGGGCCGAGAGACGGGCCACATGGGCCATGGGGATCGGGCCGAGGAGACGGGCACATGGGCCATCTGGATACGGGCCACATGGGCCATGGGACGGGCCGAGAGACGGGCCACATGGGCCATGGGACGGGCCACATGGCCATTGGGACGGACCGAGAGACGGGGCCACATGGGCCATTGGGATGGAAGCCGAGAGACGGCCACATGGGGCATGGGACGGGCCGATGAGACGGATGGCCCATTTGGGCCACGGCCACATGGGCTTGTGGACGGGCCGAGAGACGGGCCACATGGGCCATGGGATGGGCCACGAGGTGTGCAGGGCCATGACGGACAGAGACACGGGACCACGGATGGGCCATGGGACGGACCGAGAGACGTGGCCACATGGGCACGGGCCACATGGGCCATGGGCCACGGCGGCGGACGGGGCCAGGGTACGGACGGACCACATGGGCCATGGACCCGATGGGACGGCCGAGAGAGACGGGCCACATGGACCATGGGACGAGAGACGACGGACATGGGCCATGAACGACGTGGCCACGCATGGGCCATGGACGGGCCAACAGGGCCATGGGACGAGAGAAACGGGCCACATGGGTCATGGGACGGGCCGAGAGACGGGCCACGTGGGGCATGGACGGACCGAGAGTAGACGGGCCACATGGGCCATGGGACGGGCCGATGGGCCATGGGAGAGACGGGCCACATGGGCCATGGGACGGGCCGAGAAACGGGCCACATGGGCCATGGGACGGGCCGAGAAACGGGCCACATGGGCCATGGGACGGACCGAGAGACGGGCCACATGGGGACGGATGGGCCATGGGACGGAGAAACGGCCACATGGGCCATGGGACGGACGAGAGACGGGCCACATGGGCCATGGGGGGGCCGCAGAAACGGGCCACATGGGCCATGGGACGGCCGAGAGACGGGCCACATGGGCCATGGGACGGCCACATGGGCCATGGGACGGGATGGGATGGACGGGCGACGGGCCACATGGGGCATGGGACGGGCCGAGAGACGGGCCACATGGGCCATGGACATGGGCATGGGACGGGCCGAGAGACGGGCCACATGGGCCCACATGGGCCATGGGACGGGCCGAGAGACGGGCCACATGGGCCATGGGACGGTCGAGAGACGGGCCATGGGACGGGGCGGCCTCACGCGAGGCGCAAATCGGCGTGAAGGGTCGTGAGCGGGAAACAAAGGAGGCGGAACGACCTCGCTTTATGCGCTGCTGTTCGCCTGTTTACCGCCTGGGATGATTCGTTCCCGCGCTCAAGGCGTTTTTTCTTCTTTGCAACAGCCCTTTGGGAAACCCATTCAAGCATTTTATTTACCAGCAATCAGTTAATTTCCTCTTAATTATGTATCAATTACTTTTCTACATATAGACCCATCCTTTTATTTTATTCAAAGAATAACAATGTCGACGAGGCGCTCACTCCACGTGCGGACGGAGAAACGAACCGCGGACGCGGGGCACAGCGGTGCATTAGGATCAACTCCACAGCCTGCACCGGATATGGACCTGCGCCCTGTCCTTAGGAATTAGTGCCAGTACTAGAGCGAAACTCGAGTACAAGTCTAAATGCAAGTATACTGTAGGTCCATTAACGTCCGTGCACTCCGCTCTAACTGCAATACACAGTGACAGATCTGAACAATAGCACCTTTATGGACAAACGGACATATGTAAACTGAATAGGAACGCCACACGCTCAAGTTCAAATCGGTTCTGCATATTTGCACTTTGATAACGTGACGCAGCACGTTGAAGTTCCGAGTGAATATAAATTTGGCCGCGTAAATAAAAGGGCGTGCAGGGAACGAAGGCTTCCTTAGACCTCAGAGCCACAAGATGGCGACGATGATGATAACAAAACCCGACAATAATGCCAGCGCTGCAACATTTACTTCGTCCTTTGCTATGAATACTAACAAAAAAGAAGCATAAAATCTATATTTCGAGTCCAACCAGACTCTCCTCTTCGGGTAAAACCACCTAAGATTTGCAACACTATTGGCGCTTCTCTTCTGAGTTGTTCCCGCCAAAAGAGAGACCAATTCTTCTCGAAACATCGCGAAGCAGGTTTCTTTCCATACTGCTGTTTAAAAACATTACAATGTTTGTTTGTTTTGTGGGTCTCTTACACACTAAATCTCTATCGCTCTTTCCTGAGTCACACCGCGAGAGATTGCGCTCGTGACCCCACATCGACCCCAAACTGAGCCCTTGACCCGGGCCGACAGCTGCTCCGCCCTCCCGCTGGTGCCCGGCCGCGGCGCCCGGGCCATGCCTGCCATTGATCCAGCGGAAAAAAGGCGAGCTGGTGTCTCCTGCAATGTGCTGATCCCAACTGATGCCTGATAATCCGCGGCGTAAATGCTCTCGCTTTTATTTCTTTGTCAAAGATAGAAATATACGAAAGATCAAGTCCTCGACTAAATCTGATTTTAACAAATGTACGAAAAGTCTTTTCATTATACAAACAAATATTAAATCAAATATATAGTATATATAACTCCCCGTATGTCCGAGTTAAAAACTTAGCATCAGATGCCATAAAGGAACACTGGACAGGCAAAGCAGAGGCGATGATGTTGGGGGAGAGGAGGGACAGGCGATGATGTTGGGGGAGAGGAGGGACAGGCGATGATGATGGGGAGAGAGGGACAGGCGATGATGTTGGGGAGAGGAGGGACAGGCGATGAAAGCGAGCGGCGAAGAAAATGAAGAAAAAAGGGAACCACAACATGAAACCAGGAGCAAGAACCTGGCGCTTGCGTTGGCGGCAGACAAAGAAACGTCGATAAAAATAGAGCGTTACAAAACAGAGAAAGAGAAAAAAAGAAAAAAAGAATGTGCGAGAAAGAAAAGAATAAAGAAGCAACAACAGGAGCACGAAAACACTCGACTCTCCTCATGCATAGCCTAGGCTCGCGGACGCAGGCAAGAGAGAGAGAGAGAGAGAGAGAGAGAGAGAGAGAGAGAGAGAGAGAGAGAGAGAGAGAGAGAGAGAGAGAGAGAGAGAGAATCTTTATAAGACTCCGCTCAGGCACAAGCAAGTAGTTGAGGGCCTCAGCACTCAGATGAGAGCTGTCTGTCTGTTTGTCTAACTCCTTTATCATTCGTGTCTGCTTGTCTAATTCCTGGGCATATCAATCTGTCTGTCTGTCTGCGTCTGTTGATTGAACTCTCGATCTTTATTCTGTCTTTTTCGTCAGTCTATCAGCCCGTGTGTCTGTCTGTCTGTCTGCCTCGCCCCTTTCCTCTCACGTCCTCTCCCCGCGCTGCCCTCCGCCCTCCTCCGCCCTCGCGCCCTCCTCGCCCAGTTCCTTCTCGCTCGTGATTCACGAAGCTCTCCTTTGCACGCCAAGAAGGCGGGGAGAGAGAGGGAGAGGGAGAGGAGAGAGAGAGAGAGGAGAGGGAGAGGAGAGAGAGAGAGAGAGAGAGAGAGGGACCGAGAGAGAGAGAGAGAGAGAGAGAGAGACCGAGAAAAGAGAGAGAGAGAGAGAGAGAGAGAGAGAGAGAGAGAGAGAGAGAGAGGAGAGAGGAGAGAAGAGAGAGAGTGGGGGCGGGGGGAGTGGTGTCAGGAAACGTATTGTGTAATATATAAAAAACAAACAACGGTGCATTTGTTGTGTAAACACTGACATGCAAGTGACGCTGAATCTTTTTAGTTTGCGAAAAAAGGAACAAAAGCGAAAAAAACGTCGCTTCTCAGGGGGCGCGGATAAAACTCTTACTTCAGACATCAAACGAAAGATGTGTGTGTGCGTGTGTGTGCGTATGAGTAAGTAAGTGAGTGAGTGAGTGTGCGTGTGTGTGTGAGTGTGTGTGTAAGTAAGTAAGTGAGTGAGTGAGTGAGTGTGCGTGTGTGTGTGTGTGTGTGTGTGTTGTGTGTGTGTGTGTGTGTGTGTGTGTGTGTGTGTGTGTGTGTGTGTGTGTGAGTGTGAGTTGGTGAGTGTGTGTGTTGAAATGAATGACAGAGGAAGAGCCCGCGAGAGTTGCAAAAAGCAAAAAGCAAAAGGCTTGGCAGTGAATTCCTCCGGAGCCAAACCCGCGACCCATTCACTCACTTTCACGAGCTTCTTACGTGCAACACTTAAACAAACAACGGGACAAATAAACAAACGCACGGCCAAACAAACAGACAAACAAACGAGGAGCACAGACGAGTGCAACAACAAAGGGCGTAATTCTTGCACGAGCAACAGCGGTGATTCTGAAAGTGTTCGTCTGATTGTTGGCAAAAGCCTGAACTTTTCTCGCCGCTCAGTTTGTTTTTACAGCATTTGCATTTTTCTGTTTTTTTTTTTTTTGTTTTTTTTTTTGCCATTTGCGCGAACATAAATAATGCTCACACGCACGGGCTCGCGACACACGCGCAATATAAACACAAACACACACGCATGTACACGAGCACACATACAAACACACGCACGCACGCACGCACGCACACGCACACACACACACAACGAAGCCAAAGGCGCACTAGGACACCCTCGCCGACAGAACTGAGTCCCTCGGCCGAGGCGCCCGCGGCAGAAGGCGGCTCGGACTCGAAGCCCGACGGTGGGCCTCGAGCGGCGACACTGAGCTCTCTTCTTGTTCCTCATCTGCTTCTAAATCTTCTTTTCTTTTCTTCTATTTATTCTTCTTCTCCTTCTCTTTCTTTTTCATTCTTTCTTCTTCTTTTTCTTCTCCGGACAGACAGTCCAACGCGCAGCCCTTCACCATAAAAACACACACACACACGCGCGCGCCGGCGCGCACACACACACACACACACACACACGAAACAAAAGCCGAGCGCCGGGATTAATCGCGGCGGTTCGATCCCGTGTTTGTGTAGAGTGGCTCGCGAGGTGACCAGCTGCCAGATGGGCACTTGGAGGGGGGGGGGGGGGCACGGGGCTCTCTGCGAGGATTCGCAACGGGGGAGACTCCACGGCGCCCGTGACGCCAAGGCCCAGTGGATCCGCAAGCAAGATATATTTCATATATATATAAGATTTCTTCCACGGCGAAGAGGTGGGAAGGATAACAGGATAAAGGAGAAGCATCGACGTTTTTTTTCTCTGCAAGGGAATAAAAGCAGCGGCGGGAAAGACTAATGGATGTATTTAGCACGCCCTGTCGGTGTAAACAAACACAACTTGCCAGATGTTAAATTAGTAGCGCGCGCGCGCGTGTGTGTGTGTGTGAGTGTGTGTATGTATGTGTGTGCGCGCGCGCGTGCGTGAGATTCCCTTCCCAGACCCATGGCCGCAGGGCCGGAGCAGCGCTCGTTTCGTGACAGTTTCTCTCGATCCGCCGCGGCTCGCATGCGGACGGATCAGCCGCACCTGCGGCCGCGATCGATAACCTTAAAATAAAGAGAAAAAATCTAATAAAAAGGTCGCGGTCGCACGAACGCTCACACCACAAAGGCACGAGTGCGCGCCGAAGACTCTCCCTCCGCTCTCTCTCTCTCACACACTCACACACACACACACACACACGTGTAAGCGTGCGTGCGTTTACATATCCATATTCACAACTGTATCCGTCTATCAATCTATATAGCTAGACAGAAAAACAGACAGCTTGGAAATCGGGTATATATATATATATATATATATATATATATATATATA